ACAGAAAAAGAGATTCCACCTAAACTTTAGGACAAGCTGTTTGACCATGGAATGGGCTGCCTCAGAAAGTGGTGGAGTCTCCTTCTTTGGAGGTTTTTAAAAAGAGGTTGGATGCCCATCTGTCAGGAGTGTTTTGTGTATCCCTGCATGGCAGGGGGTTAGACTGCATGGCCCTTGGGGTCTCTTCCAACTTTATGATCTAGCCGGGGCTTCCTTATATAAACTTGCTTATACAGCATTATGTTCTTTCACATTTCCTTCAGTGGCCCTATGAAGGGCCTTCAATATTCTGGACTGCAAGGCACAACTTTCTGTGCATTCCCTGTCTGCCTCTGAAATGTGGTGCCTCAACCACCATTTCTCCATCCTTACAGGTAATCCCCATTGTGCGATAACTAATTTGCGAGGAAATAAATGTTTCTGTACCAGATCCCTGTCTCCCTGCAGGGGTTTGGCTCCATGCATTTAGGAGTTTTTATTGTTTCACCATTTACTGCCCTTTTGGAAACAAAGTCAATTCTGAATCTATCTACCACCTGGGTTAAGTACTCATATAAGAAAGATTATGAATAGGGGGTAGTGAAGATCCCAGTACCTCCAACCATTGGAGATCCAAGGAAAGTCATTATGAACTAACTATCCAAGCTGTAAGGAGTACTTAAATAACAAAAGAATGACCAAAGGCAGCTCAGCAATACAATTACAGCCAGGAAGGCCAAAAGGAACACAATTAGATTTCTCCCTCCTGCTCTGCAGACATCAGACAAACTTCCATAGTTGCTTCCAAGCCCTGAATACCTCCTCCTGTGGATGCCAAAACAAATCCTGGAGCCTTCATAGGATAATGAACCAGTTGTAAAATAATGTGTTTTCAAATGTATTCGTTGCTGTTCCTGAAAATTAGCATTCTTTTAAGGTGCTTAAAAGAATTAGCATTCTGTTCTTAAAAGAATGCTAATTCTCAAGAACTACAATGAATACATTTGAAAATACATTATTTTGCAACTAGTTCATTACCCTGTGAAGGCTCTAGGATTTGTTTTGGTATCCACAGGAAGTTTTAAGGGCTTGGAAGCAACTATGGATGCCTGTCTGATCCAATGGTTCCTATATGATTTGTTTAAAAAAAAAACTTTATCAGCAAATACATGTCTCTGTTTTGCATTTGTGGGATGCATTGGAAACTGTGTTCAGATTTGCTCCTTGAGGTTCAGCCCCTTCCCAAAGAGTCTGAACACTATGTCAGCATATTGTTAATGTTACATACCATGACAGTGCTGAGGTTCATGAATGATTGATGTGATATTATAGAATATATATCTGGGGTATCTGCATTGGTCATACAACAAATGACAATAACATCCAAATTCCACAAATCAGCAATACCTTTATTGGGCCAACCAAAATGCACAAAATATATGATGCAGACTTTTGAAGTGCCACTGGCTTCTTCATCAGCCAAAGGAATCACCTTTTGTGTTGCTAATGGAGTTTAGCAATACAAAAAAGTTTAGCAGCACAGAGTGAGCTTGGCACAGTGGTTTGAGTGTTGGACTCTTTACACTAAGGAGATCAGGATTCAGTTCCCAACTTGGCCCTGAAACCCACAGGGTGACCTTGGGCAATTCACATGCTCTCAGCCTCAGAGGAAGGCAATAGCAAGCCCCCTCTGAACAAATCTTGCCAAGAAAACCCTATGATAGTTTTAGGGTTGCCATAAGTTGGAAATGACTTGAAGGTGCACAACAACAATAACCAAAAGAAGATGGAAAGCAATATTCTTTGCAGGAAGCCTCCTCTGAATAAATCTTGGGTCGCCATAAGTCTGAAGATTTGAAGGCACATAACAACAATGGAGTTTTAACATTTGTTTCTTGGCTTTTAAGATACTTTGTCTCCCAGAACCCACATGGCCAGAAGGAATGTCCTCTGCATGCATTAATATCCTTCTATACCAGCTTAACTAGGGGAAAAACAACATCTTGACAAAATGTATGCCTGAAATGCTATCATTTTTTTTCTCCTTTATGATTTTAAACATACAGGAAACACACATTTTAAATTTTGCCTGATGAAGAAGCCAGTGGAGCTTTGAAAGCTTTCATCATGTACTTTAAGCATTTTGGTTGGCCCGATAAAGATGTCACTGTTTTGTGGATTTTGGATATTACTGTATAAAATATATGTGTGCATGTGTGTGTATTATGACAGATCCTTTGTACTTTTCACAGATGACCATTTTCTGCAATGGTTATGCTGTGCATGGAGTTTCAACTGAATTACTAATAAATCATACTAATAATGCAGATAAGCAGTTTGACTAACTGCTAATACTAGTCAGGAGATTCAAGTTGAACTTTCTTTTGGATATATCAGGAATTTAAAAATGCAACCATTTCATTGCTAACACATGCCAGGAATTTCTGTTAAGATTATTCTATATTGCCTTTAGGTACATGCAAAATGGGGCCCTGAAGCATCTTTACTTTTTTAAAAACCAGAAGAGACTTCTGATCAAATTCTTTTCTTTCTTTCTTTCTTTTTTCTTTCTTTCTTTCTTTCTTTCTTTTTTTTTTTTTTTGAGAAAAGGCTTTTCCTGGGCTTTAAGTAGGCCAGTGTACCACCATCCCAAAAGTATTATGAAATTTTAATTTTAAGAATAAAATAAAAAATATAGGGATGCATATATCTCCACATTCTGGAATGAATTAGCTGTGGTCCTACATCTCTAGAAATTGCTTACTCCTTTTTAAAGAACAAGGAAGGAGACAAAATTTCAAATAGCTTTTTGGACCAATGCACTACTAGATGGAGACTGTATCTCAGCACCAGAGCCCATGCTTTGCAGAAGGCGGTGGATCAGGTAACCATGAAACAAAACCCAAAATCCATTCAAACCAGTCAGAGAGCTGCTGCCAGTCAGCATAGATAATAATGAGCTAAATGGACTGTCTGAATTTTAAACAATTCCTATAAGAAAGATATGTCTACATTTAATGTCTTAATGTTAATGTTTGTATAATTTTAACAGAGAACTAAAAGCTTCCCTCAAAATTAGAAAATTAGGTTAGTTGAAAGCTGTAGTTAAGAAGGCTGGCAAGAAGGAAAAAAACAGCAACCCTCATTTGAAATGTGCTGGAGGAGAGTTCTCTGAATATTGCGAAAAAGACAAATAAATGGGTGTAGGAGTAAACGAAAGGACCTAAATACCCCAACGGCACCCGATCCTGTCTGAGCTTGTAAGTTAAGCAGAGTCAGCTCTGGTTGTATGGGAGACTGCCAACAATACCAGGGGCTGTTGGTTATATTTCAGAGAAAGGAACTCGCAAAACCATCTCTTGAGTATTCCTTGCCTAAGAAAATCCTGTGAAATTCATGGGGCCACCCTAAGTCCACTTGAAGGCACAACCACAGGAGCAACTGAAGCCTAAACTCTCTTTAGATGACACCAAAAAGACTGAACTAAGACTATTGTACTTGGAACAAGAGTGACATAACTCACTGGAAAAGACAATAATGAAGACCACATTACAGGTGGATAGACTCAATCAAGGAAAGCACTGCCTTGCAAGATCTGACCTGAGGGCTGTCAATAGGAGGGTCTCTTAGAGATGGGAGCTTTGCATGGTGTTGTGATTTTAGTGTTGGACTAGGACTCCAGGACAGTCCCTATTTGACCATGGAAACTCACTGGGTGACCTTGGTCCTATCTGAACAATCCTTGCCAAAGAAAACAACCACCCTGTGATAGATTTATCTCAATATAGCCATAGCTCAGAAATGACTTGAAGGCATACAACAACAGAGCTTGGAAATCTCTCATTCATAGGGTCACCATAAGTTGAAGCTGACAACTTGACAGCACAGCAAAAGAGCTATGAATGCTTAGCGGACACAGACTCTTGACTGGGAAGAACCAGCCCCCAATTAGAAATGAATGGTTCCATGGCATTTGAACATGGACCACTTAAGGATGCTAGTTTGGTGCATAGTCATGATTCATGCCTTTTCTGTAACAGCACCCTCACTGTAGAGCTTTCTCTCTCTAGGAAGGTTAGATTGTTGTTTGCTTTCAAATCCTGTCTGACTTATGGCAACCCTAATGGAAATGACCTGAAGGCACACAACACACAAACACACAGAGAGACAAACCTAGCATGGGGTTTTCTTGGCAAGTTTCTTCAAAGAGGGGTTGCTTTTGCTTCCCTCTGAAGCTGAGAGAGTGCTCAAGGTCCTCCAGCGGATTTCTATGGCTGAGCAGGGATTCAAACCTTGGTTTCTAGACTCACAGTCTAATGCTCAAACCACTACACCACACTGGTTCACTAGTCCTTTATTTTTTGCTCCTTCATTCTGTTGTGGTTTTAATGGTTCTTATTTTCACTGTTATTGTATTGGATTCTTTGTTCCTATTTATTGTTGGGTGGTATGTAATTGTTTATGTTTGTTATGTTTTTGTCTGAATTTTTATAATTTATTGCTCAGAGGCCAGAATTAAAAAATAGTATAAATAGGTTTTGTACTTAGAAACATAAAAACCCAAATTCAGTTATTCATATCATTTGGCATATCATGAGTCCCTAAAATCTAAATCTTTAGCAAATTTCTGCTAGTGAAAAAAAGATGGCTACATAACCTCCACCTATCACTATTTGGCAGGGACAGTTCTGTTGTCCCATATTTTCAGCTCCTTTAAAAATGTTCATTTCTCTCTTCTCCCAGTTTTCTCCTTCATGCTTATCTTTCTTCAGTTGATGCAGATCTCAAAGTGCAAAAGTATTTTGAACTCAATTAACTCAGCAGGGTGGAGAAATGGCAGAATCTTCCCTTCCCTGTAAACTCAGGCAAAAGCAGACTGCTGCAGCCTCTCCTAGCTTGTGCATTTTTCCTCAATAGCTTTTGCCATCTTGACCGACTCTGATGTTCGTTGGTTACATGTATCCCAATTTTCATCCTTGTAATGTTGCACTCATGCCCTTTTTGTATTGGTAAACTGGCTGGTCATTGTGCGGAAAATAAGAGTGGATTAAATCTAGGTTTTGGATCTGATCCAAAGGACTCTTCTTAGGACTAGAGAGAACTGAAAAGTCCCCAATCAGCCAAGAAGCTCTGGGTGACTTTGGGCCAATCACTCCCCCTCAGTCCTTCCAAGTTTGTGTGACAACAAAAGGTCACAGCAGGAAATCTATTGTTATTTTTTGCTAGCAAATACTATATGATACTATAGGTTCATTCCCACTTACATTTAAACCAGTTTGCAATTCGCCTTCGCTCCATGTCAGTGAATCGATTCCAAAAGCTCTGTTGTTCTCACTATGAAAGCAGATCTTTTCATTATTCCATTGTAATCCCTTCTTTTTTGGTAGGACTGTAGTTTGCGCCACTTCAAAATGCATGTCAACACCATTTCCCCCTTGAGCAGCCTGGTTTGGAAACTATAAACACACATGCACACACTCACATTTAAATTGACAGGATATGTGATCCATTGGTTTTGCAACTACTTGCCTCATTGAGCTGCAGTCCACCTGTAATTGCAAGTAGTTGATATATATATCATGCATCCATAGGTCACCCAAGCACAAAGGCGGGGGGGGGGGGGGGGGGGGAATGGCTGATTTCCCAAAAACTGAGGAGGGATGGTAAACACCCCTCTGCCATTAGTCCCTCCCCTCCAGTATGATCCTTCAGATCCGTCGTTCCCACTTGTTGAACACGCTTCGGAATTTATTCTTTTCAAAAGAACCACCAAAAAACTAGTGTCAGGAAACAGCGGGTTGGTTTTGTTTGTTTTTTTTTGCATTATCCTTGCTTCATTGTGACTGAAACCAAACTCAGTAGGATCAGAACCAGTTTCAAGTGGGAACGACGGTCATATAACCCGATCAGAAATTCACTTTAAATCACAGTGGGAACTAGGCTATTTCCTTTAACTTGTAAGCTGCTTTAAGTCTCAGCTTTGAGCAAAAAGATGAGATATAAATAAAATTATTAACTGCAACAATGATGAAGAAAGATGAGATATAATCAGGTGAGTGACATTCACAGCTTGGAAAAGTCAGTTTTAGGACAACTCCAGGATTCCCCAGTGAAATGAACATATTGGCTGGGGGACTGTGCTCTGGAGTTGTAGTCCAAAAAGTCATGTTTCCAAATTCTAGAAGCATCTGATATTTCATCTGTAAAATATTGGAGGATATGATGTTAGAAGAAAACAAAAGCTTTATCCAACAGCCCAATGACTGTTAAAAGCTGCTATGAGGAAAAAAAAAAAAGCTGCTATGAGAGGAGAACAGGGGTTCTTTGTAATGCCCACATAGTGAACACTTCTAAGGAATTTATTGTTAGTAGAGGGAATGGCAAAGTCAACCAATATATATGAACCAATAACAATAAATTCTACATGGCAGAAGCAAGAGAGAAATTTGGATAAAGACAGTGAATTATATGTAACTGAATTTTTATTACATAAAAGGGATGACAGCATATATAAAAATGGTATTTAGTTGGGAAGGAAGAATCCTATGAACTATTTAATAAAAGGCAGAAAGCCTCTATAATAAAACAGGAACACAAGGATCTGGAAGTGTGCTAAACAAAAAGGGCTCTAATGCAAGGCTGCAGTCCAAGGAGTCTGTAACAAACTTTAGATCAATTACAATGGCTAACACTGAGTTGGCCCATGTAGTATTTTTGTCAAAGCTGTTGCTCAAACCCAAAAGACATAGGGTCTTGAAATAAATCAGTAAGACTACAACAATAAAGGAAACCTTTCCCAGAATGTGATCCAGGGAGTGCTTAAAATAATATCTTCAACACAAACTGTACACAGAACATGATATTCTGTGAAATTTAGCTTGCATTTGTTTGGCACTTTGATTTTTTCACTTTCCAAAGGGTTTCCTCATGCAGTTGGCAGAAAGGCAACAGGCACAACTCCTAACACTGTATGTGGATGTAGCAAGAGTCTGCTTGAGAGCAAAACATGGGGATAAGCTATTGCACAGTGTTATGTATGTCTCCCTCTGCCCTATGATGCTTCACTAGTATGGAAGAAAGTCAAGGGAGAGAGTACATGAACACACTGTTACCAGTCTCAGCTTAAGCATAGTGGGGTGGGCTATAATGCCTCTCTGTTGCACCAAGAGTGCTTGCACATGTTCAACCCACCAGAAGAAAGGAGGTACTATTCTGTATTTGAACAGGCTGATATAGCAGCTCCTGCATTGTGTTTATGTTTCCTGTGCAACTTGAGCAAGTTCTTCCTTGAGAACATCCTCCTGCAGTCAGGGCATTTGTATGGTTCCTTCATACTATGTATTCTCAAATGGACAAAAAGGCTGTGGCTGAACCAGAAACTTTCCCCACACTGCAGGCAAGGGAAAGGTCTCTCTCGGATGTGGATTTTCTTGTGCTTGCTGAGATTAGAACGCATGTTGCAGCGAAAGTCACACTTGGAGCATTTGAATGGCTTTTCTCTTGTGTGGATGCGCATGTGAACATTCAGACTGTGCACAGCATAGAAACCTTTGTCACACCAAGTACATGGGAAAGGTCTATCATCTCCTCTGTGGCTTTTCTCATGTATGAGAAGATTTTCTTGGCTCCTGAAGGATTTCAAACACTGAGTGCATACATGTTCAGCCTGTATTTCTTTGGGTTCATGCTGAGTAACAATTTCTCTTTTAGGAGCTCCACCTTGCACTTCACACAATGTAGTTTTTAATGGTTCTGACTCTGAGCAACCTTTTTCTTCCACATGACTTTGTGGAATGGGTTTTCCAGCTGCTCCTGATGGTGTTAGCTGTACTTGTAGTTGCTGCAACTCCCCCTGGTTTTGAAAAGTTGTATTTTGGACTGCTTTTGTGGGCTGAATTCTTTCACAGTTCTGAGAAACATTGCTTTGAGGGAGCAATTGCAAAACCTGAGACTCTGCCTGCAAACTGACATCCAGGGACTCACATGTATCTGGCCCACAGCTCTGAAAGTCTTCCTGTTTTTTCTCCAGCACTTCCTGCAGGTCTCTTTGCTGTTCAGTACAGGCTGAATTCCCTTGGCCAATACTTTCAGTAGTCTCCATTTTGGATTCTCCAGAGACTGTGCTGTGGGATGGCATACTGAGGCCGGGTCTTTCTGGCATGCAGCTTTTGGGAGCACTTTTCAGCAACCTGGAGGAAACAGTTGCACTTGAGTCCCTTTGTGCACTGTTGCAAGCTTTTACCTTCTTGCAGATTTTGGCATTTGGGGATTTCTTTCTGTTTGTCATTTCCAATCTCTCATCCTGACAGATGCAAGATCTGGCCCTCCTGCTAGGCAGCTGCATCCCTCTCATAGATGTTCTTCTTGACATGGTCTGGGATCGCAACTGCAAATCAACATGGAGTTTTTCCTTCTTGCAAGTCTGGAGATTTGTCTGTTTTGGCTGAAGCTGCTGATCGATGTAGTGTTTATCTTGCTTGTAATGTAGAGTAGCATTGTTTTTAATTCTTAGATTTCTTTCTGACTTCACAACCTGACTGACAGGAACCTCTGCTTCCCTGTGTTTGTAGAGAACATTTCTTTTTGGTATTTTGGATAATTCTGCTTGCACCTGCTCAGAATCCTCCATCTTGGATCTTTCTCCCATTACTAGCAGAGGATCTATTTTTTCCTCTTCAGTATCAGGCTTTGGCACCAAATGGATCTCCCTTTGACAGTTTAGCTCAGCCACAACAGGCTGTTTTGGGGACTTTTTTTTCAGGTGGGTGCTCTCGTGTCTCTTCAGATGCCACTTCTCACCAAAACATTTTCCACATGTAACACATTTGAAGGGTTTGAGCCCTGAGTGGATATTTTGATGCTTCTTGAGGGCATGTTTCTTACCAAAGCCTTTCCCACATTTATGGCACAAGTATGACAGCTTTCTTCTCTGTGGGTTCCCATGTTTGAGGGGGGTAGGGAAATTTTTTATTATTATTTTTTGGTTATTATCTGAGCCTATAAACATCTTTTTTCCCATATGGCTTTTCTGGTGCAACAAAAGATGGTTCTTCTGAGAGAAGTTCTTCCTACACTCCAAACACTGATATGGCTTCTTTTCCCTATGGACTTTCTGATGATTTATAAGTGCGCTCTTTGTTTTCAAGCATTTCCCACAAGATTGACATTTATAGTACTTAGCCTCTGGGAGTGTTTTTGGGTGCCTGGTAAGGCACAAGTTATGAGTGATGCCACGTCCTTGGCTTCTATAACACTTTTGTTCTGTATTGATTCTTTTAAGTACAGCAAAGCAACTCTTTGTCCTCAGTTTTCTGACATACTTGTTACGTTTAAAGGGTACCTG